GAGTTAGTCTGTGAGTAAAACCACACAAACAGTCACTTCAGTACTTTGACTGAACTGAAAAAGACAGAAAAATACAAACTTGTTTCCAAAAAAGTCAAAAGTGTTGAATTTAAACTAAAAGACTGCAATGATTTGAAAACATTGTTTTAATTTTAATTTAGATTTAATTCAACATTGTACTTTTGATTACTACTTTTATTCAGAGGTCTATAAAGTACTTGGGAAAAAAATAAGTAAAAGTAAAAACATCTTAGCAGAAAATGACTGGTGAAAATAAAATTCACTACTTCAGTAAAACTCTTAAAACTGTTCACAAAATTTGGGAAGGTAAAATTAAAATTAATAGTCCTTTTAGACTCTCTTAAGAAACAAACTATTGAATTTACTTAATCAAACTGGTTCCACTAAACAAGTTGAGTAAATTGAGCAACATACAGAAAATATATACAGTATATTGCTTCATATTTACTCTAGTAGGTTTAGTGGAACCAGCAACAACTCTCTTCATGATGAGTTCAAACATATTTAGTTTGGAAACAAGTAAATAGGTGTTAAATTTTAAAGTAGAGGAGTAAAAATATCATTTCTAGGTTTTAAATGTAATGAAATAAAAGTAAAAGTAATGTTTTAAAAAAATACTTAGGAAAATTACAAATCCTCCAAAAAATTACTTAAGTACTTTAATGAAGTAAATGTACTTAGTTACTATGAACCACTGGTTTTAATAGAATAATCATTTCTATCAAAACCAGTCAACTTGTTTCATTGACTACAAAATCAAGACTTTACTCCAATTTACAGCAGTAAGAAACAGCAAAACTTCAATTTATTTTACAAATAAAGGACCCAGAGGAGATTTTTAAGAGATTTAAGAAGCATCAGAAGCAGAGCAGAGAGGGAGGTGGATCCTCAAGTTGAATTCCATCATTAAATGCATTTAATTCGCAACAAATGAGGCTGCAAACCAGCGAGAGGGGTGAAATTTTATATCAAGCATTAAATTTGTTAAACTGATAAACTTACCACTGGCGAGGTAAGCACATTCTCTTTTCCATTTTATAACTCAAGAATTGTCGTCTCTGTCCTTTCCCCTCATTCAGAGGTTTTCAAATCAGTGCCTTCTGTTTTTAGAAACGTCTTACAGAACCCAGACTTTTTTGGAAACAGTGTTGAATGATTTTGGTCATTTAAATCAGGAGATGAAATAAAATAAAAGCTAACATGCATTTCTTAACACAAGGTCAATAACTTAAAGATAAAAAATTGCAACAAATGTCTAATTAAGGTTCTGATTAAATGAAGTAAGGATAGACTGAGATTTGCTGGATGAATTGGATATTTTCTTAGATTATTCTTATTTTTGATATTTATTCAGTCCTTGTTGATATTTGTAGTTACCAAACTGTAAAAGTTGTTGCTTTTGGTCATGAAATGAACTTTTGCAACTTCAAAACAACATGATTTGTCTTCACCATTATATGTAAACACGTTAATGATTACTGGCTTTGGCAAAGTCAAGTCCAAATGGTTGTTTATCTTATAGGTTCAAGCAGAGGTAAACTAAAAATTTAAATTACATAATTTGCTCCATTCACTCAAAATACAGCTGACTTATGACAAAAAAGCTTTTCACTAGCTTTTGTATTAGAACAAATGTGGAAGTTTACACAAAGTTTTAGCTTTAAATTGAATTAAAGCACCCTCTACCACTGCAAATACACACTTTAGATTTTGAAATGTTCTAATTTATGCACAAACAGGTAAAACATCTTCAGCCATCAGTCTACCCTTACCTCTCTGGTTAACAGAAACACTAAAAGTGTTTTGCTTTGCTTTGGGGCAGGTTACCTTGTGACTACACTTGTGTATGGTGAAAGTGAGTTCACTCACTACCATATCTATACACTTCAGTGTGGGCTCCTTCAGCTTTTGGATCTGCTTTTTCACTATGGCCTCAAAGGCCAGGTCGGGGGTGAAAAGCCCTGTCCTGTTGGGATGAGCAGGCAGAACAAGACAGAAAGGAGGGAGGCGATGGAGGGAGACGAAGAGACAAGAGGAGGTTCAGACAACGAGGTGAGACGAAAGCAAACCAAAGGAGTGAAAACAAACGGTAAAGAAAGAAGGAAAAAAAAAACGGAGACGAGATGAAAAAGGTGGGATTTGAAGATGGTAAGAAGACAAAAAGGAGGTGTCGGAGTTGGAAGGACAAACGGCGAAGGAAGAAAAATGCAAGTGAGATTTTTTTTTCCCTGAAGCCATTCTAAAAGAGGGCAGCGCTGGAGTTTCTCTCTGAGAGGAGAGGGAGCAGAAAGAGGAGACAAGAAAAGGAGTTAGAAAACAGAGAGATTCCCCCAGCCTGCACGACTCCATCAGCCAAAAACACACAACAAGACTGCAGATGTGCACCTGGATGTTCAGCCAAGACCGCCGCCACCCACCCACCTCCTGGTTTCGACCCGTTCCTCCATCTAACCCCTGTTTCCTCTAAAGTCCTTTATCATAACATTTATCCTCTGAGGCCTTCCGAGCCGCTGTTGAAATCATTCGGTCACAGCGGATCCATTTGGATAAAGACTACTGCTCATTTGTCTTGGCCCGGCGTCCAAATGTGCAACACACTGAGGAGCTGTTAAGCTGTGATTTTTTTATGTCCGCAGGTGCACGGCTGCACTCTCGCGCACCAGAAAGTTTGGAAACTGATGTCACCCAGTATACGGTTGTAGGAAATTTGCAAAGATAAACAAATGATTCAATGAATTTGCGTCGGAAAGGTGGAAACTCTGAGTTCCTCTTTTGCCAATTTCACTTTAAAGCAGATTCAACAGTACTCGAGACAAATAAAGACTACAGCCCGAATAGGAAAAAGGAAATGGGACATTGTGTGAAATGTAAATAATAACTAAAAAAAATGTTAAAATTTTTGGATAATTTTTAATTTTATGACAGCAGCACATCTCAAAAAAGTTGGAAGACAGCCAACAAAAGGATGCAAAAATAAGTGGTCCGAATAAAAACGGCATTTTGCAACTAATTAGTTCAAATAAACTGAGTAAAAGAAAATGCATCTCTCAGAAGTAAAAAAAAAAATCAACATTTCAAATTATTTTTGGAAACTATGAATGCTTTGTACTAATTAGAGCGACCAATCAGTCTGTTTTGAGCACACAGTTTAAAAGTCTGCCTCTCTGATGGTATAAGGGTGCATTAGTGTCTATAGATTGGGCAGCTTGCACATCTAAAAAGGTGAAATCGGTGTATATTATTATATATTATTATACAGGCTTTAGAACAATTTATGCACCCATTCAGGTTTTTTATTTTATTTTATTTTATTTTTTGCTTTGCATATTTCAGCAAGACGATGCTGAACCTGCAGCCATGACACATGGCACAGGTTTGTAGTAGAAAAGTCTGATGCTGAACTTAGATCCGTCACCAACTGAAAACATTTGATAAAATAAAAAAATGAAACAAAAAAATTGACAATTAAGACCCAGAACTGTTGAAAACTTTTCTTTTGTGAAATGTGTTATTACCACCAAATTCAAATTTACTGTATTTCTGTTGTTTAATTTAAACCTTTATGGTTACTAGTGGTGGGCACAGTTCCCCTTAAGCACTAAAGCACACATAGGGGAACTAATTTCTTGATTAGTGCTTTAGGGCTTTTGCTCATTTTTAAATGTATTAGTGGATTAGCTAAATGTGTGGGCTAAATTTAGAAGCACTAACTGAGGTCTTTAAATGTTATTGATCAACATTATTGTTCACAGTTGAGGGTGAAAGCTGTCACACATTTTATTAACATGCGTGTCACTTATCTACAAGGTCACGTGTCAAACTCAAGGCCTGCGGGCCAAATGTGGCCTGCAGGTGACTCCCATTTGGCCCACCAAGGGCACTAGTGACATTGTCTCATGCTGACTCCGAAAAATGTTTCATGTGTCAACTGGATTATATTAGTGCTTTAGAATTAGCTTTTACTAAAAAAAAATTTCAGTGGATTATTGCTTTAGAATTAGGGGACCTAAATATTTGAGTTAGTGCTTTAGGGTTAGTGCAACTAATATTTAGATTAGTGCTGCCCACCACTGGTTACTATGTTCCATTGTCAGTAAAATATGGGTTTATAAGATTTATGAGATCCCATTTTCGTCATGATTCAGGTTATTTTAATAATCTTTATCAACAACCGTATTTTGATGACCGCTCAGCTTCCACACTAGATTTCGTCAGCACAAGTGTGACCCATAAGCAGGTAAACTGCAGCCCACCCTGCCACTCCAGGTGCCACCTCGCTGTCCAACAACAACAACAACAACAAGGGCTGGAGAGAGTCAGGTGGTCACAGCACAGGAAGTCAACAACTGGGGGACTTTTTGAGCACGAGGGATGAAAGCACAAACCGAACAAGCCACCATTTATGGTTTGTTTTTTTGCTTTGCTTTACCTTTCTGGTACACTGCCTAACTGTAATGACTAGCTCAGAAATGACCATGTCCACACATTTGGTGCAAGGCTCTTTAATCTTCCCAATCTGCCTTTTCACAATGGTCTCAAAGGCCATGTCCGGGGTGAAGAGGCCGGTTCTGCCCGATACCAAGAGAACCAGCCACGGGGCCGAGAGACCAGTGAGGTGGGTGGAGAGACAGAGAGACAGGAGGAGGGAGGAGGCAGAGAGAAGAATGTTAATTGTGATGAGTTATTTTCTAATCTGTTGCCTACTCACTCCACCTTCAACCAAACAAAAAAATAAATTATCTAAAAAAAAAGAAGAAAGGATTCAGGGATCATTCCCTTCAATTATACTGTCTCACTTAATTTGATTTTTTTGAAGTGGGGTTCTGTGACGAGGTTATGAACGATTAATATCTTATCTGCTGTAGATAGCTTGTTGAACAGCCTCAGCTTGAAAAAAATTATCTTTATTTCTGATTAGATTAATGAGCTAACAGGTAGTCTGAGTTAGACCAGGACCAAAGGGGACCGCTCTCATCTTAAAATTTCACAGTAGCTCACGTAAATGCAAATTTATCAACCCTTTATTTCACCAACAGATTTCCATTATGTGTTTTTTTAAAAGCACAAATAGCAGAGGCATCTAGCTGTAGCACTACCGGTGCACACTATTTTTTGCCAGAACTCCCATGTAATGCAAATCTGATAATAAAGAGGTTTAAAAATGTCAAACCATAATTGAAATTTTGAGAATTTAGTTGTTTTAAAGTGACAGCAAACCACATTCATCATTTTTGAACTCGTAATACTTGTTGGCTTATTAATTTGATCCAAACTGAGCTATGTTTCTTCCAAACGAGGTTGTTCAAAATACTATCTACAACAGGTAAGATGCTGTTTATTACCTTTCCTCAGAACGCCACTACAAAAGTAATAAACTATCCCTTTAATGCAATCGGTATTTCTAAAGATGAGCTGAATCATTCAAATAATCAGCTCAAGACTGACAAACAAAATAATTTCACAAAGAGATATTCTGATTAAAAAAGACACAAAAGGGTGAGAACGAAATAAAAACCATTAAACTACTAAAACTAAAGAGTTATTGCTGACTGTCTGGTGGTTACAAAGAGTTCAGGAAGAGAAAAGCGTGACCTACCGGAAATACAAAAGAGAGAGTTCACCGTCCACACAGACCAGTATTAAGTTATTATTAAATGACTATCTGATCCCAAAACATCACTGCTTGAATGTATTTTTTGATGTCAGTTTAACAGATGAGCAATCAATGGACTGGTCTTAGCTTGGATTAGAGAGGCTGTTGTTAGATGTGACAACTGAGACAAAGAGATGGAGGGAGATGAGGTGAAGTGAGGAAGAAGAAACGAAAGGTCAGAGGAGGGGAACGAAGGGCGGACGTGCCTGATGCCGTGAATGTTCTTGATGGCGTAGCTGATTTCCTTGCGGAGTTCTTTCTCATCAAACTCCATCTGAAACCAGACAGAAAGGAGATTAAACACACACACACACACACACACACACACACACACACACACAGTGACTTTAGGTTCTTGCAAACACAAAGCAGACTCCATGTGAGTTCATGTATCATTCGCCTACCATCTGTTTTTAATAAATCTGCTCAAGTGCCTCCTTGTTTTTTTATTATTATTTACTGCAATGCCACATACATCACATGCACCCTTCGGGTTTTCACTTTTAAAAAAAACACGTAAAACACGATAAATCGACATCACACATATGTGACCGAGGCTTTCGTCTGTGTCTCTTCAGTTATTCCTCTGATTAGGAAGTAACCTACTTTGTCCTCTTGGTGGAACACCCAGCGGGGCATTTCTCTGCAGACATTAAGTTTTATACCCTCAGAGGGAGGACATGAGAGAGGACATGAGAGAGGAAAGACGGGAGGTGAAAAGGGTTGGACGGTGTAGGAGGACGAGGTGGATGGGGGAGACGAAGTCAAACAAAAACAGCGAAGACGTGATGAAAGCAGGTTCGCGACTGAGGAATAAAGAAGTACGACCCTCTGTTTGAACAGAAGACCGTCACACACACACCTTGACCAGCTCAAAGGGAAAGCGTTCGTGGAAGATTCGATTGATCCTCGCTCCACCTGACAGCTCAGCCGTGTCGATCTGGTCTCCGGAGCCTTCTATGCACTTCTCAAAGTCCACAGAGAACTGCTGCACCATCCTGCAAATAGAGAAGGAGACACATATGCTAACAAAAGCACCTGTTTACCTGCACATCCTGTTTATCCACTCACTGGAGGAGAGCCTTGGTTTTGCGAGACGGGTCGTCGGGTCGGAAGTTTTTGTACTCCTCCACCTCCTTCTCTATGGAGAGGAGCTGGCTCTGCAGCTTGGACCGCAGGCCCGGCAGGGTGTCACGGATGTGGTTGGTCAGTTGCTGACGGGGTCAAAGTTCACCGTTAGGTCGGTGGTGAAGGCGTGAAATCTCTTGGCGCCGTTGTTACGCACCTGATTGAGGACTTTCTGGAGGTACGGCGTGCCCATCCGGTCAGCCAGGTGTCTGTAGGCAGGGTGGGTGAGGAAGAACTTCCTCTCAGCAGCCATGGCAGCGTTAATGTCCTTCTTTCCGTCTATGTCCTTCTGGCTTCTGTTGACCACACCGATGTAACCTGGACACGACCGGAAAGAGATAAACTATGGGGTAAATGCATTTACTGCAAATATGCAGCACGGATGCTTATTGTTGAATAATTTAGCTGAAAGCCACCAAAGAAGCTGAAATTTTTTAAAGGCTGAACTATTAACGCTGGCGGGATTTTAACAGAACGCAAAATTAGCTGAATGATAGCTGAAATTTGTTGAAGAACACCAGCAGTGAAAACAAAAGCTTCAAGAGGCAGAGAGTAGCTGAAAAATGCAGAAATATGCAGATATTAAGTAAAATAAGTAGAAATGAAGCTGAAAGGGGCAGAAAAGGCTGAATAGGGCAGAAAGAAAGTGAAAGAAACAAAATAAAAGCTGAAATTAGGAGAAGAATAGCAGAAAAGGTCGGAATGATAGCTAAAAAAGGCAGAACATAGCTTAAATCAGCAAAATAGAAGCAGAAGGAAGCTCAAATTAGAA